TGTCTGTCTCTGATTCTCATTTCCTTTGGGGATGGGTTTGATCCTTCCCACCATCACCAAGATGCCTGCTTCCCTGTCGTTTTTACCTCCCAGCAGAAGTACCGTCACAGCTCAGACCAGAGGCAGGTTACCTTAGCAGGTAAGCCCAAAAGCGGGGCAGAAGGGACACCAAAGATAAAAGTATCCAGGTCAGGGCTGCCTGGCTGGCTCAGTCAGAAGGACATGTAACTCTTGATCTTGGGGTTGTGAGTTCGAGCCCCACATTGGGTATAGAGATTGCTTAAAAAGTAAAATCTTTAAAAAAAAAAAAAAAAGTATCCAGGTCAGGTTCCAGATTTTCCTCCTTCATTCTTTTTAAAGATTTTATTTATTGGAGTGCCTGGGTGGCTCAGTTGTTAAGCATCTGCCTTCGGCTCAGGTTGTGATTCCAGGGTCCTGGGATCAAGTTCCGCATCGGGTTCCCTGCTTTGTGGGAAGCCTGCTTCTCCCTCTCCCTACTACCCTGGTTGTGTTCCCTCTCTCGCTGTGTCTCTCTCTGTCAAATAAATAAAGTAAAATCTCTTAAAAAATTTTTTTAAATTTATTTGTGGGGGCGGCACAAGCAGGGGGAGCGGCAGGCGGAGGGAGAAGCAGACTCCCCACTGAACAAGGAGCCCAATGCGGGACTCAGTCTCAGGACCCCAGGATCATGACTTGAGCCAAAGGCAGACACTTAACCAACTGAGCCCCCCAGGAATCCCTTTCCTCCTTCATTCTATATACAGCCAATCTCCATTCGTTACTGGACACCCTTGGAATTCTCACCCAAAACAACTAGAGTCTCCTATCCTCTTCCCGCTGCCAAGATGGAGTGCCCCCCCCCACCCGAGCTGGTATCAGAGGCACTTACTCAGCATCTGAGTCCCTGCTACTCACCTGGTCTGTGGAACCCACTGAAACACTCCTGATCGGACTTTTTCCCCTAACACCTTCCATTCCAACGCAAGAAAACTCAATCCAGAGAACTTCACATTAGGCTTCTCGTCTAGTATGTGATGGACTCCCAATTCCACATCCTGCCCATGGACGCTGGGATCGCGGTCCAGCTGGAGTTCTGGAAGTGTTGGCAGTACCGGGTAGGAATGAAGCACACTTGTTATGTAACGGAGAAAGTTGCAAATCGGGAGATCGGTCACAGGTATTAGGGGGCCTGGCTCAGGCTCAGTTCCCAACACAGTAGGACAGAAGCGTGACCAAAGAGGAGTCAGCTGGCACTGTGCTCATGGCTGAATTAAGGAGCCTGTTGGAGCTGGACATCGACTTTAGGGGAGAAATGCAGACTGTACTGTGAGCGTCGGAGGACCATTTGGCTCAGTTTTGAAATTTATTCCGGTTCATACAATCACTCTGGATTATTCTCTCCCAACATCGTATCTGTCCACTGAGATCGCGGTACTCAACATGGGCCCCAGCCATTTTTCACAAAGACTGGAGGCCTTCCCTTTTCTCCTACTAGCTCATGGGACAGGAGCTGGCCTTGAAACCCAAGGGTCCTAGTTTCTTGTCCTGAATTTACTGGGCTTCACGACGAAGTACGTCCGAGAAGGCTGCTCAGGCGTGGGAGAATCTTCCCACCTGGAATTCCATCAACATTTGAAGTTGAACTTCCTTCTTTAAAAATAATAAAAATCAACAGATCAGAACCAAGGTGACTAAATCGACAAGAGCTTTTTAAGCAGCTCTTGTAATGAGTATTTTTAAAGTCAAGATATTGATGTATAATTTAAGTTGCATGAATTTGGGGGCTGGGGAGTTGGATTGTATTTTTAATTGTGGCAAAATACACACATAAGAAAATTTACCATCCTGGGCTCCTGGGTGGCTCAGTCAGTTAAGCATCCGACTCTTGATTTTGGCTCCCGGTCACGATCTCAGGGTCGCGAGATTGAGCCCCGCATCAGGCTCTGCACTTGGCGGGAGTCTGCTTGAGATTGTCTCTCTCCCTCTCCCTCTGCTCCTCCACCATACCCTCCACTCCACTATTTGCACACACACACTCTAAAAAAAGGGGGGGAGCTGCCTGGTGGCTCAGTGGGTTGAACATCCATCTCGGGTCATGTTCTCACAGGTTGTGGGATTAAGTCCTGTGTCTGGCTCCTCGCTCAGTGGAGAGTCTGCTTGAGATTCTCTCCCTCTGCCCCTCCCCTTCCTCACTCCTGCATGCTCTCTCTCTCTCTCTCTCTCTAAAGTAAATAGATCTTTTGGGGCGCCTGGGTGGCTCAGTTAGTTGAGGCACTGCCTTTGGCTCAGGTCATGATCCTAGAGTCCCACGTTGGGCTCCCTGCTCTGCGGGGAGCCTGCTTCTCCCTCTCCCTCTGCCTCTCCCCCTGCTTGTGCTCTGTCTCTGTCAAATAAATAAAATCTTTAAATAAATAAATAAATAAAATAGATCTTTAATAAATTAATTGAATTGAATTTTTTTAAAAAAAGAAAGAAAACAAAACTGACCATCCTAACCATTTTTTAAAATATTTTATTTATTTATTTTGAGAGAAAGAATGAGAGAGAGAGCACGAGAGGAGAGAGAACAGTGGGAGAAACACTCTCTGGCGATCAGAGAGCCTCATGTGGGACTCGATCCCAGACTCCAGGATCATGACCTGAGCAGAGGGCAGTTGCTTAACCAACTGAGCCACCCAGGAGACCCCATCCTAGCCATTTTTAATACATAGTGCAGCAGTGTTAAATACATTCACGGTGTCCTACAACCAATCTCCAGAACTCTTTTCATCTTGCAAAACTGCAGCTTCACACACGCAGACCAACAGCTCCCTGTTTTCCCCTACCCCAGCCCTTGCAACCACCTTTCTACTTTCTGTCTCAGAATTTGACCCCTCAAAGCACCTCATGTAAGTGGAATTCTGTAGTATTTGTCTTTTTCTGACTGGCTTATTTCACTTAGTGTAATGTTCTCAATGTTCATCCGTGTATTAGAATTTCCTTCTGGCTAATATTCCGTTGTATGGCAAGCCCACGTTTTGTTTATCCCATCATCCGCCCATGGATAGTATTTGAATTGTGCCACTATGAACAAGTGTGGGAACGGCTCTTCAAGACCCTGATTGGCATTAGTGTCTCTTAAAATTGAGTGAAGGAAGCCTAGAAGAATTCCACATCCCGTGGTTTTTTTATTATTTGTTTTAATTATATATTATTTATTTATTTATTTGACAGGCAAAGATCACAAGTAGGCAGAGAGACAGACAGAGAGAGAGAGAGGGAAGCAGGCTCCCTACTAAGCAGGGAGCCCGATGCGGGCCTCGATCCCAGGACCCTGGGATCATGACTTGAGCCAAAGGCAGAGGCTTTAACCCACTGAGCTTCTCAGGCGCCCCGGTTTTATTATTATTATTATTATTATTATTTTACCATTTGGAAAAACTCAGGAGTGCAACACTAATTTCACCAGGTAGTATCTTTACAGCTTCTCAGTGTGCTGACTTCAAGGGCTGCCTGTGCCGTTCCTCAGCCCTGTGTGAGTGTTCTGAGAATCGCCATTAAATAGAAAGTTGCCGCAGTCCAGCTGTACCTCCGTGACTGAGACACTGGTCAAAGGCGGAATTATCAGGGACTTGGTGTATTACTAAAACCCACTGTTCCAGTTTCCCCTCACACGGGGCTTGAAGTCCCACACCGCCGTTCCCCAGGTCAAGAAAGCACGTGGTCCCAGGACAAAGTCAGGGACGTCCAGCTACAATCCACTTCACCACCAAGTGCCCTTCCCCCTGGCAAAGACCTACGAATAACATCTGTGATCGGGTTTCAGAGTAAGCAAAGCGGCAAGGGCTGAGGGGTTGCTGAAATGAGTTCATGAACAAATTGACCAAAAAAATGATCTGTGAATAAATCATAGAGAAGGAAGAGCTCACCAGCCATGTGGACAGATAAGACTCCTCCCCCCCAAATACCAGCCTCTCTTTCATGCCCTACATTGTCTGCAGGCATGTATAAGCTATATTCTAGACCATTTGGCATTCAGATAGCTAAGTCGGCTCCACTCAGCTCAGAGATGATCGGGGGGCTAAAGTGTTAGCGTTCTGCCCTCCTGCAAGGAGGAAAGGGAATCTAGTTCAGGAACCAAAGGAAAGCGTATTCATCCCATCTCATCTTTTAAGACCCTGAGACAGACTCCTTCACGGCCCCCCAGATACAGGGTTCTCCAGCATTAAATGTGCAGAAATCTAATGCATATCCATTACAGGAGAAATCGTAGGGAAGGGGAGCTGAGGTGACAGATTTTGAAGAGCAAACATGCACCTTTGTGCTCTGTCTTCTTAAAATTCATCCTCTCACCTGCCAGCCTTGAGAATTGCCTATTTACATAACTAGCTTCCTAAAATGGAATATTCAATAACGTTACACGGTGCCTCACTCCGTTGGAGCCCATCCCCAGGATTTGAGTGCTCCCGGAGTCCTCCAGCAGCATGTGGCATGGCGCGCTGGCCTGCCGCCATGCCTCCGTGTGGTGTGAGCCTGTCAGCGCTCCCGAGCCAAGCAGATGTCAAGCCTGATCTCCGAGGTGGGAGGCCAACGAGCAGCAGGGGGAGGGGACGTGATTCAGCAAGTGGCATGGTAGCACGCCGTCTTCAGGGGACAAACAGCGTCTCTCCCTGAGCTTCCCAGCAGGCACCTTGTTCTGCCCAAGGTGCTGTCCCAGAGACCGCCGGCAGAGAGGGACTGAGAAGGGGGGAGCTGCAGGATCTATGGGGACAACCCGGTGCCAGAGGGACTCATTCAGCTCTGAGCCGGCCCTGGCACTGTGCCAGCCTTGAACCCCCTGTCGGTCCTTTCCGAGGCACAGATCTCCCTCCTGTCCAAACGGGAGTCCTGCTGCTCGCTTATGAGAGGAGTATAAATAAGTGATAAGCAAGTGTTCTGATGATGAGAGGCGCGTGTAGCTTCTCAGCAGACCGCATGTATCAAAGAAGGCAATTGTGTGTGTTTGTTCATTTATTTTTCAGCGTTCCGGTTCCTGTAGTCAGTTTAGAGAAAATCCCTAACCTAGTGAAGGCAGATGGTGCCAATGTCAAAATGAACTCTACAACCACTACCGTGGTCACCTCCTGCTCCATGTCATCCTCTGCTGTCTCCACCCCACCTTTAATTAAGCCAGTCTTGATGTCCAAGTCAGTGCCACCTTCCCCAGAGAAGATCTTAAATGGCAAAGGAATTCTGTCTGCCACAATAGACAAGAAGCACCAGAATGGCACCAAAAACAACAACAAGCCTTACAGGAGACTTTCAGGTACGTGTCTGTTTCCTTCGAGCCTGGCTCACGATTAGATCTGGGTCACATTCCATGATCAAGCAGTGCTGTGTTCTTATCATTAAGCAGGTCCGTTTCGTTGTAAGGGGAACACGGGCTTTACCTGCCAGCAGGACCCCCCCCCCCCCAAATTTAAAAATGCGAGGGAAAACGGGTTCTCTTATTTCCGGGCCAGATGAGAGCTCTCGATCTTGACTCAGTGCTCAGCAGGAGGGGTCCTCCCGGCCCAGAAGACAGGATGCCTTATACCAAACACGACAGCCCATTCATTCTCCAGGGTCTTATCAGGCTGATGGGCTGAACCGGCCCCGGGTTCCACAGAAGCTTCTCCGCAGGGAAGTCGGACAGTCACAGGGATGGAAACCTCTCAGTAGGTCAGGGCTGACGCGGGGCAGGACCGTGAGTGCTGTCTGCCCCGCTCCATGCTTGGGTCTTAGTTGGTCGCCTGGTTGATTCCATGGTCTGGGGCTACGACCACCTTTCCTACAAATTCAGGTTGGAATTCCCACTTGGGAACCCTCAGACCAGCACAGCTGGTGCGAGGCTGAGGGGTTTCTCTCGGATCTCCTTCTCGGTTATCTGCGTAGACAGTTGGGATGGCCAGAAAGGTGCACAGGGCTGGTCTTGGAGGCAGTGGTTGCCTTCAGGGGCCCCTATGTGGATGATATTTGCTTTGGATTTGTTGTGGAACTAAATCTGGTGGTTCTGCTTTCTCCAAAAGACCAAGAAAAGCTATAAACTTTATTACTTCTTCACACACCGGGGGCATTTATCAAATGTTGACTGGAAAAAAAGAAAGAAAGAAAATACAGTGAAAGCCACCTGGTGAGAGAGAGAAACTGTGCCCTCCAGTAAGAGCGTAATTCTGAATCAGCCTAAGAACTGTGGGTCATTTTTATTTTTTACTTCGTGTTAATCTATATTTCAGGTGTCCTATTTTAACATCTGTAACTGTTCAAAAAAATCATTTCTTAAAAGTTCTTTGGACCCAAGCATGCAAAAGATGTTTACCCTAAACTTCTCCCTCGGTACTGTTCACCCACTCTCAAGAAAGAAAGGTAGAGCCTGGCGCACTCTTTGAGCATTGTGGCGGGGGCGGGGGGGCTGTGTGGACAGGAGCCCCCAGCTCCTGGCTCTCTCCTGAACGGAAAGTTCAAGTTCACTCTGCAGGGGTGGGTGGCAACATCCCTGGAAAAACCAGTAGGCCCAGCTGGGCGGCGTCCAGAGGCAGAAGCATGACCATGGCTTCCAGCCTGCGGCCCAGCCTGAAGTCGTAGAGGGGTGGTTGGGGTTCTTTTTTGGTGTTTGTTGGTTTTGCATTTTGTTGGTTGTTTTGTCTCATTGGGTCTTTTGCTTGTTTCTGTCTCGCTTTCACATTTGGCAGCAAGCTCCCCTCCCCCCCCCCCCCCCCCCCCCCCCCCCCCCCCCCCCACCCCCGGCCAAACAACCTGCTCGGTTGCAGGCCAGGGTGAGGTGTGGATCTGGGCCTGGGTATGACTCTGACAGGCCCCGGGGAAAGAACTCGGCGGCAGGCAGCCTGGGTCCTGGCTCCTGGGGAGTCCTCAGCAGGCAGAGAGGGCTCGGAGGAAGCGGGCCTCTCCGGGCCTCACAGTTTTCTAGTCTTAAAAAAGGAGCTAACAACAACAACAACAAGTTGCAGGCGGTGTGAGGGAGCGCCTGACTGGCTCCGTCAGAAGAGCCTGAGACGCTTGATCTCCAGTCGTGAGTTCAAGCCCTACGCTGGGTGTAGAGACTACTAAAAATAAAATCTTTAAAAAGGAAGAAGAAAATGATGATGATGATGACGATGACAAAAGCAAAAAAAAAAAAAAAAAAAAAAAGATGGGGAGGCATTTTGATGTCCAGCCAGGAAACCTGTCTCGGATCTTAGAATGGTTTTCATTGCAGCCGTCATCATTGCCACTGTTGCAACCACCCCACAGGCCCCAGACTTTCTTTTAGAAACAGAACACGTTCATTTATTATGCTCAGAGTTCCTCCTCCAATCTCAGACGGCTCCTCAGGTAAAGCCCTGTTTGGTTTGCAGCCATTCACACCTCTTAAGGAGACTTTCCTGCGAACTGATATAAGAGCCCCCCACCCACACACCCACCCACCCTGTGACACTGTTGCCAACCTCCCCAGATGCCCAGAGGAGCTATGTTTTCCCTGTGCCAAAGGACCCAGGTGGTTGCTGGGAGCCTTCCAGAAACAGCATGGCCTATCTGAGACTTGGACCTTTGAAACGGAAAGCATCCATCAGGGCTTGTCTCACGTCCCCTCATTTTCCAGGGGAGGGGAGCGTGTTGGTCATCCAGAAGGGGCAAGGGATCCAAAGTGGGCATAGAGCAGACTTCTTAGAAGGAACGTCACCAAGTGCCATCCACAGCCCAGTAAGAGGGCAGGAACGAGAGGAAGCCTGGCCTCCCTGCAGCCATCCTCCGTCCCCAGTGGGTGGGCTAGCCCAGGCTCATTCCCACGGAGGAACGACAAGAGAGCAGCAGGCCCCGCCCTCTGTGCCCCTTCACCTTCACGTGCACAGACAGCACGTGCCCAGCCTTTCCCCTGCCCCTGCCTGTGACACTGCCAAGCATTGCTGAATCAGGTAAACCGCGTTTCTGGTCAGCCGGGCTGCGTGGAAAGCCCGGTGCTGAGGACTTGGCAAAGCACAAGAGAGGCAGGTCACACTGACATGGCAAGGAACACTCTCCCACTTACTTAGTGAGAACTAGCGGGAAGGTAAGGGGCTGGGGAGAGGGGTGTGTGACGTATTCCTGGAGCTGCCCCAGGAGAAACGGTGGCCCTCCCTGGTCTGCAGTCAGCTGCGCCCGAAGTACCAAGTGCTTGGGGAACCGTTTAAGTGAGATAAAGTGTGTGAGCATCAGGGCTTCCTGCCCTCTGTGCCTGCCCGCCCCTCCCCTCCTTAGTCCTTGCGGCTGGGGCTGTGTCCCGCATCCCGACCTAAGCTGGACTTGGAACTCTGGGGTCAGAGGGGAGTGTATTTCCCCCTGAGCGGTTCTTGAAGCATTTTAGCAGCCGGTTGGGGAAAAAAAGAGAAAGAAAGAAAAGAAAAACAAAAAACCAGATTGCCTGACAATGTCTCACTTGTTGGTGCAAATGTGCATTTTTTTTTAAATGTAGTCTTAATGCCAAATCCTATTTAGTCTCCTTTTTTCTTATATTTTTTGTTTGTTTCTTAAACCAGAGAGAGAATTTGACCCAAATAAACACTGTGGAGTGTTGGATCCCGAGACAAAGAAACCTTGCACAAGATCCCTCACCTGCAAGGTATTTCTCTTTCCATAAAAAATACTTCCTGCTCTCGCTGGGGCCTTTGTCGAAATGTTTGCATGCCACTCTCTGCACACGGCAGGGTGTGGAACCTCGACATGACCCCCAGCTGTTCTTTGTAAGGGAAATGCTTTCTTCTCTTCCATGGTAGCAGAGTGCCTGCCTCGAGCTGGCTGGCTTTTTAAGAAGGAAAAAAAAAAAATAGGCTTCCCCTGTTACTTGTGAGGCCAGACAGTAAATTGTATTTATAGGCACTCACAGGCGGTTCTAAACCCTGCTACGTTTTAATGTATGCAGGAGCGGCGGCGGCGGCGGCGGCGGCGGCCTGAAAGGCAGCCGCGGAGGGGAGGACCAGCAGCCGCGCCCCTGATCGGGCCACACCGGGTGGCCAGGGGGACAGCTGAACCCAAGGCAGCCGCCATCGGGCAGTCCCCAGACCTGTATTTCATACTGAACTGCTAGTGCTTCTTGGGATCGAGGCCGTGGCCCCCTCCGCCCGGTGGCTCCGTGGGTCTGGCCCACGGAGAGCCTCCCACCTGCACCCGGATTAACTCTAGCCTGGCCTCAGAGAGGTTTCCGTGGGCTCTGCGCTGAGGCTCATCGTCCTGCACCAGTTGTTGTTGGGTTTTGGTTTTTGTGGTTTTTTTGGTTGTTGGTTTTTTTTTTTTTTTTTTTTTTTTGGAGGAAGCTTTGGCTTCTTAACGCCAGGAGTGTAGGGCATGGTTGCGTTTGCGTGGTGTCTGCCTCTTCCCAGCCACAGCACGGAAGCTGTTGCCTTGAAGTTGACTTTTCAAGCACCTCTAAATTCCCATGAATTGCTGTATCTGAGATGGAGGGCCTGGGGAAGCAGGTTTATGTGCTGATCAAAGAGGCTGTGCTTTTCATCTCTCTTCTCCTTAGACACATTCTCTAAGCCATCGGAGGGCAGTCCCGGGCCGGAAAAAGCAATTTGACCTCCTTCTGGCGGAACACAAAGCCAAGTCCCGGGAAAAAGAAGTCAAAGATAAAGAGCATCTCCTGACTTCGGCGAGGGAAGTGTTTCCAAACCAACCCGGGCCAGCGCAGGACACTCTGCCAGGACCTTCAGGGAGCTCTGGGCCAGAACCGAAAGTCGCCTCCCCTGCAAAATCCAGGCCACCTAACTCTGTGCTTCCTAGGTAAGTCCCGCTTTGCCGGTAGAAGCCCCAGGTCCTAGGTCAAGTGACTGGCCAGGTCACATGCGGTCTGATCACATGGCAGGGGAAGTTCTCATAGTCCTTCCCTGTGAGGTGGTTGTGGAGTTTAAGCGAGATCATGGGCATGAGGGGCTCAGCCAGTGGCCGCCACGTAGCTTTTGGTGGATTTTACTGCTGTCACCATCTTCATCTTCATCTTCATAGCAGACCTTTAGCAGAAGGAGCAAGACTAATCCGGGAATTAATACGTGGAAGGATGACCGACCAGCCCCTGGGCAACTTTCCGGTTGCCTGAGTTTTTAGATGAGTTGGACACTCCTGGCGCTGAGAGTGGGGCAGTCATCACACCTTAGGAGCCCAGGTGCCACGTAATTTTGTGGATTTTTTTCCCCACAACTCTCCTATGATCAGGGCGAAAGGAAAACTGGCATCACTGAGGCCGTTTGTCCTTACATCTCCCTCCACACCAAGAAAACTGAGCCATCTGTTTGGGGTTTTATTTGGTTGACCTGGACAGAGAGGAAAGAACAGAAAACAGAATTAAAATCCGTCTGGATTAAGAGTGATTTAAAACCCATGCATGTCTGTTTTGATGGGCAGTGGAATCCTGAGCGGCCAACCAGTTTCCAGGTAATAAGAAGGGAGCCCTTCATCCAAAAATATTTATCTAGTGCTGGCTCCATGAGCAAGGGACTAGCATACCTCTTCCTTATTGTGCTTCGCAGATATTGCTGCCTTTTTTTTTTTTTTTTTTTTCCAACAAACTGAAGGTTTGTGGCAACCCTGCGTCGAGCAAGTCCGCCGGCGCCATTTTCCCAACAGGGTTTGCTCATTTCGTGTCTCTGTGTCAATAAAGTATTTTTTAATGAAAGCATGCACATTAGGTATAATGCTACTGCACACTTGATAGACGGCAATATAGTGTAAACATAACTTTTATAGGCACTGGGAAGCCCCAAAAATGTATTTGATTCACTTTATTGCGATACTGTCTTTATGGCAGTGGTCTAGAACCAACCCCAAGCTATCTCCCAAGTACACCTGAACTGTGTCAGTTACTTTCAAGCAACAGTGCAGAGATGAATGCAATTAGATCCCACTTTTTAAGAATTCAGAGTTTAGAAGAAACGAGACTCAGATACTCATAACTTCATGGAAAAGAAACGTTAATAATAAAATAATGAGACGTACAGGTAGTGGTATTATCTGATCGCTTTTAAGGCGTACAGCATGAATCTCAAAGGGTGATTGTGCAGTCAGCAAGCATTAAGAGAACACAGTTACAAAACAAGGGGAAGGGGTTGATTTTTAAAGCAAAAACAAATATTTGATGACAGCTGGCACGGAACTGCCGGGTTCTCACCTTCCTGCCTTCCACTTTGGTGTAAGCCTGATCCAGATGGATAGCCGGAGTCCCTTTGTTGGAACCGCCAAGGGCGGCTTCAGGTTCAGGAGGACACAGTCAGGTGGAAGGGCCACCAGCACACATTTCCCGCGTCAGAAACATTGCCCTGGTGTTGCCACCAACTTACACGTCCTGTCGTTTTGCAGGATCATTTTATAACGACTTTTCATGGTCATGCCAGAATTTGCCAAAGGATATTTATTACCTTTCCTGAGCTTTAGAGTTAAGCAGGCAGTTCTGTTCCAGATTTCCGGGAGGGGCTTCAAGTCTCTGTACAGTGGCTCTCAAACTCTTCTGTGGCTGTAGAGCTTTCTCACTTCCCATAAAACGTTGTGTGTACCCAGTATAAAAACAGAGACCTGCTCCACCTAACGCCAGCTCCACTCTGCTCCCTTCGCACATGCACCCAGAGCCTGCTGTCCCCTTAGCCCATCCAAGGATCACCTTGGAGTCCCCCAGGGCTCCAAGGAACCCAGTTTGAAAACCATCTTTTATTATAGGTGTCCCATAGAAATTAGTGTGAGGAAATAAAGGCCTCGGGGCCCCCAGATTTCCATTTGCCTATCCTCCCGGGCACTGTTTGCCAACCTGGGGGCCTTCGAATAGGGGCTTTATGCTCTGTTTCTTGGCCCCAGCTCCAAGGGGAACATATTATGTACCCCCAAAGAGTCCAAGGCTATGGATGACCAGCCCAACCAAACCCATCAGGACTTTTGCGGAAAGAGGGTTGAGGGTTGAGCTAGGCGCTGACAAGCCAGTCTCCGGCCCCCAGGAGGGAGGGAGGAAAGTTAAGCCATGGAAGCCCGTGCTGACAAAACCTGGGCACATTCCCCTCTGTCTTGTGGATGCTCACATATCTAATCTTAAAGTATAAAAATAGTGGGGGCCTGGGTGGCTCAGTCAGTTGGGTATCCGACTCTTGGTTTCAGCTCAGGTCGTGATCTCAGGGTCCTGAGATAGAGCCCCGCATCATGCTTGGCGCCCGGCACAAAGTCTGCTTGAGTTCTTGGGCCTCTCCCTGTCCCTCTGCCTGTCCCTCTGCTCATGTGCTTGTGCTTTCTTTCTAAAATAAATAAATTTTTTTAAAAATTTTTAAAGTATGAAGTGGCAAAATCCAAGGAATTTTAGACTGGCACAGGAAGTGGAGAGAGAGGCAGAAGGTTCTAGATACCTGAAAAAGGGCAGCGATGGTTCTGGAATGAAAGCAACTCTAGCTCATGCCTCATTAGGATAAGTGTTACTGCTACACTGTAACCCTTGACTTCATGCATGTTCCTCTGTTTTTTCTTTTTCTTTTTTTTAAAGATTTTATTTATTATTTGACATACAGAGATCACAAGTAGGCAGAGAGGCAGGCAGAGAGGAGGAAGCGTGCTCTCTGCTGAGCAGAGTCCGATGCGGGGCTCGATCTCAGTATCCTGGGATCATGACCTGAGCTGAAGACCGAGGTTTTAACCCACTGGGCCACCCAGGTGCCCCGACCCTCTGTTTTTTTCTACATCCATTTCTCAAAGATTTTTATTTATTTATTTGACAGACAGAGATCACAAGTAGGCAGAGAGCCAGGCAGAGAGAGAGGAGGAAGCAGGCTCCCTGCTGAGCAGAGAGGCTGATGCGGGGCTCCATCCCAGGACCCTGGGATCATGACCTGAGCCAAAAGCAGAGGCTTTAACCCACTGAGCCACCCAGGCGCCCCAATCTGAGGGACTTTGAAGTCAGGCAGATAGTATCAAGTCTCATTTCTGTTTCTCATTAGCTTTGCCACCCATTCCCTCATCTGAGAAATGTGGATGAGTTACACCCACCTAAAGCAGAGGGTAAATTGAGTGAGAAAATGTACGTTGCATGCCTGGCACATAGTTGGGACTCAGTTAAGGTCGATTATCTTGTGCTGTCTTCCCCAGAGCACTCAGACAGACTGATGCTCATGGTTCCTCAAAAGAATGGAGGAGGAACTTTAAGTTTCCCTGAGTGGAACTGGAAGCACAGGGATCACTGATTGTCGCGTGGTCTTTAGACCAGACTGGTCAATGGAGAATGGCGGATGTTGCCATGCTGACCTCAGAAGGGTGGGTGGCAGCTTAACTCAAGTGATTTTTTTCAACACATTCTCATGACTGGTTGCCCCATTCCCCATCATTCCTCACCAAGCCTTATTTTTCTGAGACGCAGCTTGGTTCCATCAAACTCCTTCCCTCCAGGTTCTGCCCTGGGGTACAGTGATCAGAGCTGGAAGGTCTTGAAAACATCCCCTACGCCATTATCGCCCGGAGGGTGCCTACATCTTGAGTGAATCAAACCTACAAAGGAACAAATTCCAAGCTTCTTCTCCGTGTGCACAGGCACACTGTCATCATTCATGATTCTGTCTCTGCTCTCAGAGTCCATTCTGCTCTAGACACAAATTTCCATGCTCAGCTTCCCTCTATAGGATTCTCCTCCCCTCATCTCTCTTTTATTCAGCCAGCAATTAGAATTTATTATTGTTTCAACCATTTTTTTCTTATTTTTTTTCCTTAATTAAACTTTTTTTTTTTAATGAAAGTAAAATGGGCACATAGTTCAGAAGTCAAATAGAACTGAAAGACTTAGAACAAAAAACAGTAAGTAGTTCCTGCCATCCTGGGGGGGTTCTCTACCCAGTCTGTGTTAGAGCACGTGTTTCCTAGATCCCGTTGCCTCCCTGTCTATTGGTTTGCTCCTTTATTCTGATGGAGTAGCTCTTCCATCAGCTTCCTGTAAAAGTGCAACGGGGGTCAATTTTTAGAAACTTTACACACCTGAAAATGTTTTTATTCTCCCCTTACACTTAATTGATAATCTCTCCGAATATATAACTGAATTGAAAATCATTTCCTTATAGAATTGTGAAGACATTTTTTTATTGGCTTCTAGCACCAAAAGTTTTTATTGGGGAGTCTGTTGTCCTTCTCTTTGCATATGACCTGTTTTTAATCTCCAAGACCTGGGGCTCTGAAGTTTCACAGGGATCATTCAATATGGGTCTTTTCTCATTCATGGTACTTGGTACTTAGTAGATCCTTGCAGTCTATGAACACCCGTCTCAGGGATAATTTCCTATGTTACACCATGGCTAATTTTCTCCCCACTATAGTCTTTTTTCTCTTTATTGACCTCCTGTTAGTTGGATGTTGGACCTTTTGCTCTGATCTTTCCTTCTTTTGTCTCTTTTCTCCTGTTATTTCTTAATCTCCTGTTATTCTTTCTAAAAAACGTTCTTTTATCTTACCTTCAAAACTGTATATGAAATAACCAATTTATGATTTACTTTTTTAAATCTTTGGGATCTGGTTCTTATATAAAAAGAACTTCTTACAGTTGCTTCTTTAAAAAAAAAAAGATTTATTTATGAGAGAGAGAGAGAGAATGTGCAAGTGAGGAGAGGGGCAGAGGAAGAAGGTCAAGTAGATTCCCCACTGAGCCAGGAACCCCATGTGGGGCTTGGTCTCAAGACCCTGAGATCCTGACCTGAGCCATAATCAAAAGTTCGATGCTTAACCAAGCCACCTGGGCACCCCTATCCTATGACTGCTTCTTATAATATCCTACAAGATAC